GCCCAATTCGTATTGATATCACCAAGAATCACAAACTCTTTTGATTTTATGCCTTTTATAATGTCAGTGAGCTGCGCTAAATACACGTACTCAATGCGAATATTTCATTGATTATGGTCGGGAGTTAGCGTGCGTTGTTTAAGTGTTCCTTTTATTTTTTTGAGCAGTGTATTTAGTTGAATTAACACTTGGAGGTTTATATGTAACAACAACCGTTACTGAAAGGTGATTTGTAAGCTTGATTTCTAATTGCAGAGATTCAGACTCAGTTGACAATTCTATTATAAAATGTGAGTATTTCTTGTGAACATAAACTGCAACACCACTTAAAATATTTATATTGATTCACAAAAAAATGAGGAGAGTTTAGACTTTGAATAGCTGCTGCAGGTGACTCATGCTTACTGTTTTTCAATACTTGTATGTCCTTTTTATATCAAAGTATTTTTAGATGACATTTTTGTCCTTTTTAGAAACCTTGTGCCTTCATTTTTTTGTTTAATTCAAAATGTTTTTTCCTCTGACCATGATGTGCAGAAGCTACTAGAGAGCAGAAAAAATGCACAAATAGTTTTTTTTTAATACACACGTGGACTTGCTAATAAATCATCCCTACAGACAAGATTAATGTTGACAGTGGTCCAACTTTTAAAGTCTGCATATCAGGGTATAATAAAATCCTTTAATTCATATAGTTTAACTACGTATAGATAGATCATCATAAACCTCAGAGTTACTAAACAAAAATAATTCAGAAGCTGTGAAAACTGAGTTAGCCTCATGATCCAGCAGCTTTAATGATTTCTACTAATTGTTTTCTGTATGACTCCATCTGTCTGACATATATGGAATCATTTTGTACTTCCTTTTTTTCCATGTGTTGCTTCAGTTTCTAAAGATTTGCAGACTTTTACTTGTGGAAATCTCTTAAGCTCTCCTATTGTGTGTAAAATGCTTCATCAAAACTTTAAAAACAGGCCAAATCATCCACGGTTTAGCCTGACAACACGGTGATGGAGAAATAATTCTGCCAAACTGAGGCTCGCAGCTCAGAAAAGAAACTTTCTCCTGGAAACCCTTTCAAACAAACCACACAGTTTTAATGATCCTGTCCTTTAATCTGCTGACTGAGATGGAGATCTTAGTTCTTTTAAAATTTCTTTTGAGCATCATACGGTCTGACCTTGAAGTAAATTTCATGGAAAGATCAAAGACTTAGCACCTCTCTTAAATATTTTTCATTTGCAAATAATTATTTCTGTAGTTTAGATCAGGAATGACCTTTAACCTCTCCAGTATCGATGAGAGGCTCCTCGCCTCCTCTGAATGCTTGTTGCATGGATCAGTGCTGCTCTTAAAGCTGCATTCCTTTTTGATGACCCTGGGCAGCAGGGAGGAGTTGGGATGGGAGAACCCGGCAGGAGGAGGTGTCACCTGAACCCTGTCAGAGCAGTGTGTCATGTCATTAACAGCTGGTAACTTCAATGTGCAATAAAGACCTAAAAATACAGATAAAACAGACACCCACTGTGACACAGACGCCTGGACTTTAGCAGATTCACAGATTTTACTCATCACATTTACTGTAACTGTGTCATCAGCTTCAGTAATATGGGTAAATTAGACCTTATACACTTAAAAGAGTGCAAACTCCATTTGTGTGCAACTTTTGATTTCCTCGAACTCATTTCACTCTAAGACTTTTTGACTATATGTTATTTTGGACTCTCAGCAGTTTGATTCCCAGTCCAGCATCTATCAAGATATATTTTAGCAAATAATCACGTGATGACAGAAGGAAGTGTTTCAGTGAGAAAAACATTTTTACATGCCACATTCAATTATTTCTTTTCTGTGGTCCTTTTATTTCCCAGATCTTTGTGTCTTCTCTTTAAATTTAAACACAGAGGCAAACAGATCCTTATTTTTTAACCAAAAATGCCGTGTCGTTATGTGCAAAATAAATTTAAGATTAGTAATCCCACAGGGAAGAGCTGCTGAGTCTGAAGTACAACAAAACTACAGACCCATCAAAACCAGGATATATCATTTTACAGGTGTTTTGTACTTTTATAAGCCTGCTGCTCAGACCACAAGTGAATCTTAACTGTTTTTCAAAACTAAAAGAATGAATGAACGAAATAAATGACATTAAGAGAGAAAAGGTCAAGTTTTTATTTATCAGCAAGCCAAATGAACGAGCAACAAGCGAAGAGTCTTCTGCAAAAAACTTCTAAAATTAAATGAAAAATAAAAATAAATAAATAAAATAAAATGCAGATGGACATTTTATTTTATTAAAAAAATAGTTTTCTGATAAAACCATATAAAAAGCTTTTGCTGCAAGAGCATCAAAAATAGATGAAACTACAGAAAACAACAAGTCATTTTCTGCAGAGCTATGGTTTAGAAACCTTAATGACTCAGAATTAAAGAGCATCTGTTTATTAAAACTGCAGTGCCTTCAAAACTGTAAAATAAATTAATCTGAAGCAAACCAACCCAACATTGGCTTTAAGAAAGTAAGATTAGATTAGCTCCTATTGGAAATAAGTAAAATAAGGCGTTCAGGAAATATTTGTTTTATTATGGGGCCCTCCAGAGCTCGGGGCCCTGCTGCAGTGCAGCCTTGTTGCTGGATAATCCCAGACAGCAGAAGAAAACTAAAGTTTTGGTTTTATTAATATTTAAATGATCAGAGGCGCGTGTCTGTGTGCTCTCAGTGTTTTGTGTTAAAAACAAAAATCATAAATATTGATTTCTGAAACGATTTAATTTGAACAGAACTTCCTGCGATTCTTTGGATTTGCTTTAAACATACATGAGGGAGCAGATGAACTGAAGACAATCTGCTTGTTTTATATTGTTTATGCATCATCATCATCATCATCATCATCATCATCATCATCATCATCATCATCATCATCATCATCATCATCTCGCGCTGCTCTGCTGACCTTTACATTCAGGATCTCTCCGTCCGTCGGATCTTCTTCATCAAATCGGAGCAGAGCTCCGGAGCCAATCAGAAGCTCCTCCTCAGGCTGGACGGACTACGTCACGATCTGGTCCCCAATCCAGTCAGACCCCCCC